CATCCAAGAAAGTGTATCCTTGGCAAGTAGATGTTAAACATCATCAGAGATGAAGGAAAAGTAAATTAAAGTCATCCAAGGGAACCATGCACACAGGTAAAACTTAACGAGCCAAATACACTGTGGCCGGAGAGCTGGGTAATGCTTACTTTAGGCACAGAAATGAGCTTCCGCATATTCTCGGAAACAAACCCCACGCCTCTTAGCCGTCTCCAGGCGTCCTCCTCCCTAACAATGAGTGCTCTGTCTCTAGATTCAGACATATAAGTGGAGTCATACCATGAGGGCTCTTTTGAGACTCTCTCCTTTCACATAGCATAATGTTTGAAAGGTCCATTCATGTACTGTGTATCAGTACTTACCCCTTTTATGGAAAAATAAATACTCCACTGTATGGATATACCGTATACTATCTGTTCATCAGTTGATGGGGTTATTGCCACTGTTTGGCTATAGTGTTGAACCCTGTGAATGTCATTGTACCCACTGCCTTGTGGATGTGTTTTCGTTTCTCTTGGGTATCTATGCAGAAGTGACATTTCTAGGTCATAGCATAACTGTGCTTAACTATCTTTCAAACTGTTTCATGGCTGCACCATCACCCATAGGACCAGTCTCTGAAGCTTCTGGGCTTTCTCAGTCTTCACCAACACACTGTCAGAGCCTGAGGGTTTTCTGTTTTGTATTTTTGAGGCAGGGTCTCTCTAAACTGGCTGTCCTGGAACTATGTAAACCAGGCTGGCCTCGAACTCACTGTTTACTGCTTCTGCTTCCGGGATGCTGGGATTAAAGGCTTTCACCACCATGCCCAGTGGCCTTTGACTTATTATAGCTGTCCTAATGAATGTGAACTGTTACCTAGTTGCTGTTTCTCCTTGCATCGAAAAACAGACAAACAAACAAAACAAAAAAACGAAAACAAAAAAGCGTCCACCTTCCCCATTGAATGGTCTTACCATCCTTGTTGACTCAGTTGACGGCTGACAGAGATCTGTTTTTGGATCTTAATTCTATCCTATTATTAACGGGTTTATCTTGTATCTGTCTGTGCTACTGTGGCTCCTACTGCTATGTGGTCAAGTTTTGAAGCCTGGAGTGTGAGTCTTGGAACTTGTGGCTATTGTGGGTCTCTGAACTTGCACAGGAATGGGGGAATCAAACCATCAGTTTTTACCCACAGGTTAGCTGAGCTTCTGAGAGGGTTGTGCTGACTCTGTAAATCAGCATGGGGTCTGTCACCTCATGGTTTTCAGTTCATGCACATGAATAATTTTCCATTTATTTGGATTCAAAAATTGGGGTGGGATTTATCTCATTATGGAGTGCTTGCCTGGCAAGCCCTTTGCAAGATCCCAGGTTTGATCCACAGTATCTTATTAAAATTTGTTTCCAGAAATATTTTTGCATGTCTTTAAAACCATTTTCTTACACAACTAGTTCCAAAATGGCCAGAGATACACAGAGAAACCCTGTCTTGAAAAGCCAAAAATAAGGTTGAAGAGGTGGCTTAGAGGTTAAGAGACTGACTGTTTTTCCAGAGGTCCTGAGTTCAATTCCCAGCAACCATATAGTGGCTCACAATTATTCATAATGGGAACTGGTGCCCTCTTCTGGCATGCAAACATACACACAGGCAGAATACTGTACATAATAAATAAATAAATAAATAAAATCTTTAAAAAACCTTCATAAAACCAAAACCATTTTCCTAAATTCTTTATTCATTTTTCTGTGAATATAAATGAAAATATTTTCTAAATTTCATTTTCATATTGTTCATTGCAAATGTGTACAAATACAATTAATTTTTTGAGTATTGATCTTGTATCCTATACATCCTTGCTGAGTACATTTATTAGGTTTAATATCCTTAAGATTTCCTCTATATAAATTCATGTCATCATTGAATAAAGTTTCAAGTTTTCCTCTCTAATTTGCATACATTTAAATTTTTTGTTGAATATCTTAACACAATAGTGAAGGAGTTCAGAAGCTAGTGCTTTACTCTCTAAATGGAATGTAGTGATGGTTTCTGACTCTTCTTTTTTTCTCTCTCTTTTTTTTCTTTTAGAGGGTTTTACTATGTAGCCCTGTGTATCCTGGAACTGGTTACATTGACCAGGCTGTTTTGTAGTCTACTTGTATTTGTTTTGTGTCTTTCATTGTAAATGTATTGTTTATTATCTGTTTTGTGTTTTCTTAATGAATCTCTTTCTTGTACTGTCAAAGTGCTCTTACACTGGATTTTAAAGAAGAAAGTGGAGAACTACAGAAACAACCTAGATAACTTACTTAAAAATAATAATAAACTCTAGAATGCCTAAGTCCTGTCTTCACATCACTTAACTCCAGATTCAAATTTAGCAGTGCCTACTCCTCAGGCTCAGATCAGGAAATCTCTTGAGGGCCCTGAGGGGAGAAAATGAAGGGTCGGATGAATGCTTTACCTTCAGGAATCTTTTAGAAGAGACATTTACCTTCTGCCAAAGTGTATCATTCACTTGAAAATCTCCCCCAAATAATCAGAAGTTCCACTAGAAAGGGGGATCGATCCTACATGAGTAACAACGTCAAACATTCACTATATTATCTTTTCTAAAATGAAAACCAGAAGTTACTGCTATGCTCACTAACCCCTCGGGCTCATCACTGAATTCTGCCCATGGCAATCACGATGGTTCATAGCCTGCGTCCCTGGTTCCATCTCCATCCAAATGTGACTCAACAGTTATAGACTATGTAAATATTTATTGATCATTCAACTTTATTGAGCGTTGCGATGTTGCTCAAATTCTTTTAAAGGGGGAGATGCTAACAATATCTACCTAAGGTCCAGAGACAAACTGAGGCCCTATTCTACCAAAGTTTACTCTGGGAACCAATGAGTTTATTGGGCTTCCCTAGACCAAAGATGAAGGGTTACTTACTGGAGGGAGGTGCTCCCTTCCTAGAGGCCATATTGAAAAAGGACATCACCCAGCAAGGATGAAGGCTTTCCAAAAGATTGATCCACTCTCTCCTAATCTTCCCATCCTATACACACTAACACTTCCAAAAATCCGAGTGCAGTTAAGGCAGAAGTACACAGAAAACATGGAAGTGGGTGGCTGGATACTGTGAGGGGTGCAAACAGTCAATAGGTGCAGCTGGGAATGCCCCAAGATGGCAGTTGTTTGGCTCAGAGGCTACTATGGTACATGTGTGTGTGCGCTAGAGGCCAGAAGACAAAGACACACCCTTAGGCTGAGTTCATGTGTATTACTATGGCAACCTCTCAACTGCTTAGTTCATTTGCAGCAATGGCTAGGATGCCAGTCAGTCATAGTTCCTGCCTGTTGTCATCTGGTTATACATAGCACCAGCCTCCGTTTTTTAATCTTAGACGTTTAAAGTTTGGACGAGAAACTATACACAATCCTTTTATCTACCAGCCCTGATACCCCCCCCCCCAACCAAAGAGCACCTACCCATGTGATATCTTACAACCCTGACAGATACTGTGTTTGTTTGGCATAAATGAGGTCCCCATTCTCAAAAGATTTGATGTCTATAGAACAGAAAGCGATCAAAACAGAAGTTAGTGCAGGCCTTATGTCAGAGCCCCCCCACCCATCCTTCGTCATATTCTCTCTAGGTTTCTCTGCTACGGGTGGGATTCACCCACCTATCAGAGCAGCCCAGCACCAGATCAGTCACTGGTGAGCCAGCGCTGCAAGGCCACTCACTCATCCTCAGCCAAAGGCTGGGCAGGGCATCTGAATCCTGCAGCCCACAGTGGGTGGCACAGGAGAGGTACACTTACGCCCTTCTGAAACTTAGATGTTTGAAGTCTCAGGTCAGACTCTGAGGTGCCCCAGTTCAAAGAGGCAGCTTGTTAATAGACCTGGTTTCTCTTGAGGGCGCATGCACGTGGGTTGAATACAGACAGCCCTTCAGTGCCTCAACCCACCTGGTTTCCTCAACTCAATCAAGTAGCAATCCTCTTGTGGTCGTAGGTTCCCCGTGGGAATGTACAGAGTGTGACACCCCTCAGTGTTTAGCCTAAGCCTATGTCAGACGCATGCACAAGGACTCATCATAATCGCCTGCCACCCAGACACTAATGATCCATCATCTGATGGAAAAATCCCTCCTGACGGTGGAGGAGCTACCCAGTCCCATTCGCCGTTGAGTCGCACCCACTTGTCACCCGCTTTGCGCCTTCGCCCCACACCTGGCCAGGATTGAGCACGCATGTCTCCGGCCCCCGGGTCATTGGGTCTGTCTCCGGGGATCTAATGACGTCGGCTGACCTCTCCGCACCAGCGACCTTTCCCGTGGAAATCGCTCTGGAGCAAGCCCACAACGACCTAAATTCTCCAGCGGGCACCGGAGTTTTTCTCCTATCTTCAGCAGCCGAAGGTTGGGTCGTCCACGGCACCAACTACTACAGCTTCTTCCTCTCCAAAAGCGGTCCCCACGCTACAGAGACGGCTTCCAGCATCTGGCCTAGTCTCCTTTCTGATGGGAAGCCCAGCAGACCGGCAATTCTTTCCTTGTGGGGCACGTTCTGCCCTAGTGGGTTGCCCACCACACCTTCTAAGCGGGTTCCACCGGGTGGGGCGTGTCACCCGAGCAACTTTCCTCCATATGCAGCCCCTGATCGCTGTAGTCCCCTAGCTTCCCTGCCCCACCCCGTAGCAGCTCCAGGTACCGGCTCAGCGCAGCGCGTGGCAGCCCAGGGTTGGGACCTCCGCGCCTAGGCTTTTACCCGGACTCCAGCACGTGTTGCAGTGGGGGGAGGAAGGCAGCGGCCAGGCTCGGGACGCCTTAGTGGCACAGTAGAAAGTCACAGAAGGGAAGGTGACTGATTCTGACACTCTCATCCTGCCAGCTGACCAGGATCATGGGATACCCACTGCGTTCGATTGCTTGCTTGGGGCGGGGAAGCTCTCTACACCCCCGTCCCGAGGCAGCCAATGGTCGCGTCCAGGCGGGAGGCCATGTTGCTGGAATAAAGCGGGCGGGGCGGCGCGGGCCAGCAGATGCGGCTGGAGGCGCGCGGGAGCAGGGTGCGAGCAGGGCGCAGCCGCGAGGGAGGCGCGGGGGAGGCCAGCGGGAACCGGGGAGCCAGCAGCAGCCTGTGTCGGCGGAGAGCAGCCAGGCGCAGCCGGAGCCGCAGTCGCGATGGCCGTGGCTGTGGGGAGACCGAGCGTGAGTGCCGGGGCCTCGCTTCCCCAGCGTGCTGATCCTGGGGCGCCGGGTGGGCTCCGCTTTGGGGCGCGTGCGGGTGGAGACTTGCGGGAACCAGAAGGGGGCTCTGGGTGGTGGCTGCTGGGGCTGTGGGTGTGTGCATGCATTTAGGCGCGCATCTGGAGCGGAGGGGAGCTTGGGGAGCCGGTAGGCTCAGAGCCTACCTGATGCAACAGTGGATCTTCTTGGCGCGCCCCTATTTCGGGGATGCGGGAGAAAAAAAAGACCCCTCTGCGAGGCGCCCTTTAAAGGGGTAGCTTCAGCCGCTGCTTTCCCCAGCTACCTCCCTCTCCCGGCGCACGCCGTTCGGCTGCTGATCGTGGAGGAAGGCGCCAGCTGCCGAGGGTTTCCTCATGGTTCTCCCGCGCCCCGGGGGCGATCGGGGCACGGAAATTGGGAGCCGAAGCGCTGTGTCACACGGCTGTAGAAGCGGGTCCAAGAGGTGGGATTTCCGTGGTGGCTTACCCCCGGTGTATTGTGAAATTCCGGACACCCTCAGGCGCCCACCCGGGTGACCCGGCCCTGCCCAGGATGTGGACAAAGCCCCAGACGCACACACAAAGTTTTCAAAGGGCTCCCTTTCGGGGTGGGTGGAAGTCCTGAAATACTCTGTGCCTGGCAGGCCGGGGGCGGAGGTAGTGAATGCGGGGCTCAAGGAAGAGGAAGGGAGGGTGGGTGCCTGGAGAAGGAGTGCTCCAGCACCCGAAGGCAAGGAGGGGATGCTCCTATCCGGACTCTGGGCCCGGGTACACAACGCGGGCCGCGCCTCTTGGAGTATGTGCAACTCTGGAGCCTGCCAGACCGAGTGGTACTTTGAGGATGTAGTTCAGGGTCTTGTTCCCAGCCTTGGGTGAAAGGGAGGGAAGGGGCGGTGGCGGCGGCCTTTCCTTTTTATTGAAAGGAGCCCAGCCCAGTGGGAAAGGCGGAGTCCTCTTTTCTTTTTCTCATTTTCTTTGTCGACGATCTTAGCCCACTTTTGTCTGGTCTGCCCTTGGGGCGCCTCCGGTGTGGTCCTTCCTTGGCTAGTAGTACCCCATCTTTTTTTCTTCCCTTTCGAACTTTGCAGCTTGCTGCAGGTGGTGGCCTTACATTTTGCAGATACAGAGAAAAGTCTTAGGTAGATGCTGAAAGCTACGAAACCCAGATGCTCAGACTCTTGGCTCCCCCTCCCCATGCCTCTCTGTACCCCCAGGAGTCTCAGCCCAGCAGGAAGTTCATGGGGGGGGTCACTCTTTGCAACGCCTACCTCCATTTGGTGGTTCAGTTGCTTTTTCTGCTGTTTGAGGTGCTTTGAAAGACTTTTTCCACGGTGAGAAAATGTGCATTGGTCATTGCTAAGTGTTCCTGTGGGTCTTTTAGGCCTTTCGAACTCTGTTACATGACATAGCGTGAATCTTTTATGTCTTCTGAACTCTGTTACATGACATAGTCTTAAAAATGTTGTCTTCCTCTTTATACAAATTATGCCCTTGTTAATTGGTCCTAGGCAGTCATTACTAAGGGAATTTGCATAGTCTCTGGACTGATCTCTTTAGAAACCAAGGTTAAATCTTGCCCTCGCCACATTTATTTTCAGGGCACAGATTCAAAGCACTAAAATAACAATATATGTTTTAGATGCATCAGCAAGTGTCTGGGAATGCAAGTATCCTGTGTAGGGGGTGTCTTTTTCAGCAAAACTTATTGCGGGTGCATTCTTGAGGGTTGGGGGAGGTGGGAGAAATAATTTGCTGCACATTTCCAATAAATTAGTAGGTTCATATATGTCAGTTAAATAGGAACAATATGTGGGTTTAAGATTTAGTTGTGTGGCTGTAATCATATCCAACATAGGGTCTGCCAGCCATATGTGAACTTAATCCTACAGAGTTCTTGGGTAAGGCCTCGCATTCAGATAATAGGGGAGATTTTTAAAGTATGGGTACACAGAAAAGACAGCTTCTTATGCATATCCTGTGTTGTCATTGAAATTAAGATCAAATTCCTTCAACCTTAAAAACAAGACACCCCACCCCACCCGCAGTTGTAAGAGTGATCAGAAATGACCGGGGAAGCTGAATAGCCTTTTCAGAGGCTACTGAGAATGTGTGACACATTTGCATGGGCTGCTTGGACTGTTTGCCCTGGGGGATCTTTTAAGTGTGGCCTCTGAAACCTCATTTCTCTGGTGAGTGCTGAAAGGTCTCCAAACCCAGCTCCTGAGACGGCTGTGCTGCATCTCTAGTGTTGAAATTTTCAACCTCCCCAGTCCCTTTATCTGCCCTGGGGTTTGGACAAAAGAAGGAAAAGGGATGGGAAGGGAGAGAGCCACCCCGAAGTGGACTTTTTCACAAGTGGAATTACCTTACTTCTTTAGAATTTATTAATTTTTTTTTTAAAAGGAGTTGTTGAGGACAACAAAACTTTCTCCTGCCTGCACAAGCCACCGTTCCTGTCCAGAGAGAAGAACGACTTTTAGTAAAGTCGCTCACAGTTTTAGATAGTCTAGTGTGACATTTGCAGCGGGTGACAATTGCGTTTTAATGAACAGAAACACTTGTATGAGGGCCTGGGTTTTTGCGTGGTTTTGCATTCTGAGAATTAAGTCCAAGTCCCAGTGCTTACGGTCTACCACTGAGCTACCTGCCCCATCCTTCAAATACTGTGTTGTCTATATTATGGAATGTGTGTATTCAGTTACAACTGCTTAAATTTCCGGGTTAAATTCACACGTGTCTTAGGTAGAGAGCCGCACTTTTGGTGACGGAGCAAAGGCCGTAGTTGAATGGGGTGCTCTTTCTTCCATTTTGAATCTGCGTTCATAACGTGTTCCTTTACCCGCTGGCCTCAGGCCTTGGCTCTGACAAGACCCCACACGGGTGCTGTTTCCAGAGTGCACCTAGGGTAGCAGGAGGGCTTCTCTCCTACTGATGAGTCTCCATTTTTGATGGCTTAGGGATCTTGAATCCACATCCCAAAGCAGCTGTTGATTCTGAACAAGGCAAGGCATAGTGATTACTCTGCCTGGGAGCCAGACTTTGTGTAGATGGCAGGTGCTCTCTTTTAGGGCATCTGGTGTTACAGTGTCTGGGGCCTGGGAAAAACTTCAGGAGTGAAATGGTTTGGTTACTGCCCCAGTGCAGAAAATACTGCCTCTTTTTTTTCCTAGCTAAAGCCCCGTTTCAACTTTCCCAGTGGAAATGGCGTATGATAACCTTTGAGAAATTTGTTTAATTGCCCTTTCATTGAGCTGAAAGAAATGGAAAACCAAGTTACTTGTTTGCCCATTTGATACTACACATTTGAGGACCTGCTTCATGCCGGTCTCTGTCCCTGAAGTTCGGGGTACAGCAGCAGGTATTTGCTTGTATTTATTTGTTTTTAAAAGGTTCAAAAATCCCTGTTATTAAAGTGTCATGGGATTGGTAAACTGGGGAGAAAGGAAGTATGTGCTTATTGCTGACGACAGTTAGGAATCAGGTGGTGTTTTTTTTCTCTGAATCACTTCAGAAAGCTTTAAAAATACTGCCTCTCTCCAAGACGTGGGGGTTGTCTCCTCAGGAGGTGGGGGTTTTCTTGCGTGAGGAAGCAGTGACAACGAGGTGATGTTCCCATTTGTTCTAAGTTGACATTACTGGGATTTGAAACTGTGAGGGCAGATGGAGGACTCTAGGTTGATACCTGTGTTGAACGATTAATGAAGCTGAGAAGAGCTCGGGGAAGAGCCATCTACACAACACGGACTCTGGCTGGGGAGTTTTCTAAACGATCATAATGCTTTAGCTAGTGATAGGAGCTTTGTAGGTTGAGGACCAAAAAGTGTCAATGATTAAGATTCAGAAGAACACTTTAAAGTACAATAATGCTTCTTCTAAAACTGCTTGGAAACCAGTTAATTTCTTTAAGAGAAATCTTTTAAATGACCTTTAGCAATGTATCCATACCACAGTGGATGTGGGAAACCAGTCCGAGAAGGAACATGCCCACTGCCATCAGGTGATGGCCTTCCACCAACTTCTGAAGGTTTATTTCTCCAAGCCTAACCCATCTTGCTTAAACTGCTAATTAGAAACCAAACTGTGTGCCTGACCCGCCTGACCATCTAAACACTTTTACACTGGATGCTTAGTGTTGGGCCTGGGCCACCGTGTGTCTCTGTCAGGACAAAGGGATGAATAATGGCGGGGCTCCATGTTGCCACGATTTGGAGAGCCAGCTTTGATTGATTGCCAAAGCACTAAGCATTTCCCCCCATTGAAGATGCCACTCTGGAGCGGGCTTCAGTTTCTTTTCGTTATGGGATCTTAATTTGTTTCAGGGAGAAGAGAGGCTGCATTTAGACTTTCTTCCCCCAATTGGGACTTGTCTTTTGTGGTCTTGGTTACACCTGCCATAGTTGGGGTCAGTAAAGCTGAACCATTGTTTAAGACTAAGTGAATCTAAAGCTTTTATCCTTTTTCCCAAGGGGCCCTACTTTATAATTTAACTGATACCCTCCTCGTCTTTTAAATCTAGATTGACAGAAAACTCTTCCAACTAAACAATACCTCCCCTGACCCACTCAGCGCCGCTGGCAGCCCATCAATGCCGCTTCTGTTGAGCACAAAAACAATGCACGGGCTAAGGTGGCACAGGCAGCATTCAAAAAAGAATTTGCTGGGCGATCAGAAATAAATTTGCTTTGTTTCAGCCCTGGCCTGGGTTAGAAATCAGGGGTGTGTTCCCTGGTGTGACTGTAGTCAAATGTTAACTTGTCTCTAGTGTCACTACCCATGAATGAGCGCAGGTGCTCAAGCCCAGTGACACGGGAAGTCATGAGTGCAGACGCTGTCCGTGCACTTTTGGAACTGTGGCCCCGTGCGTTGTGGTGTGGTGTGTTGAGCGAGGGAGCAGGCTCGAAAAAGCAGGAAGGAGTCAGCCTCCAAGAAGGGAACTTTGGGCCCTACGAGTAGGACTTCTGTTCAAAACAATCACACAAAGGT